CCCCAAAACCCCAAAACCCCATTAATGAAAATTAGTTAGATATTAAATTTCTTGAAATAATTTGAAAATTGGTTCAATCAGAACTCTATAAATCCTTATTAGCTTTAGTGAATATATATCTTACTTAATTTTAAATTATGGAAAAAACCCAAACTTAGCTTAATGGCTCTCTACTATCTGGTATTCAAAGAAAAGCTACCTCATTGTCAAAGAGATCAATCTTAGTTGGTACACTTGCAACCCTCGCATGCACTTCTGCCATTTACATGGTACTATCAGGTAATGTCTAACAATAAGAAAGCGCCAAAGATACAATGATGTCATTAAGTACTGCAAAAAGTTTCCTTTCTCTAGATGAGGTCAATAAATCTTGGAGACTTTTATCTCTTCCATCAAGTATCAAGCCTGAAAATTCTATTGATAATGTTTAATTATCTCCAAATGGCAATTTATATGTAACAGCCTATGCTGGCTCGAATGAAGATGGCTCAGACTCAGGATCATATGTAGTTTACCATTACAATCTCACCTCATAAATTTGGGGGCAGGTTGAATCATCATTTAGCCTCTAAGGTGTAGATTTTACCAACTTACCAGGCTCAGATGAATATAATATGCTCTTGTATGATTCAAACAATGCCATTCATCAAGTTAGTCAAAGAGATTTCACAAAAGTGGAAAGAGTTTCCCAATTAGAAATAACTCCTTCTGGAACTTATCATATTTTGAGAGAAGAAGGTCTTTCAGATAGTGAAGAATCCCTCGATCAACTATAGAATTATCTTGACACTAACAATATTGCTTATGTTTTGTATGAATCAGAAGAAGTCTACTAGTTTGAATTAAGAGATGAGAATGCTTTGATTTTAAATCAAGATCAGAAATTATAAGGCTTTGGTGACTAGTGCCTTAATGATGTCACAGTAGGAAAAGATGGAAGTCTTTGGGGTCTGGCATGCGATGATAATTCTGAATTCAATAGTCTCAGTTAAGTAATCTAGTGGGTAGACAAGAATGAAGAATGGGTTGCTTTGAAAGGAGTCCAAGGATCTTCAATTGCTGCATTAGACAGTGAAAAATTAATTATCCTATAGAATGATAACAAGATTTGGATAAATTTTGCCTGAAAGATGCATTTATTTATGTGATGGAATCATTTCAGATCATCAATTCTCAGTTAGATTGATTAAGAATTTATTCAATAAAATTTAAATCATAAAACTAGTTAATATTTAAGTTTGCTCCTCGCATATAAATAATGCTCACCAGGGGTTTTGGGGTTTTGGGGTTTTGGGG